CCGACTGGCTCCGAGCCGCGCCGGCGCCGGCTGCGAAGTCCGCGGGGAGGGACGAAGCCCGGGGTCTTTTCGGAAACGCTCTGGAGGTCTTTCCTTGCCCGGGGAATTGACCACAACACACACACTCACAGCGTCCTGAGCCGCGCTTAGAGCTGCGCGACTGCAACATGGGCGTGACCCCAAAACATAAACCCAAACCCAGACCCTCACTTAGGAGCTCACCTTGACTCGGACTGATCCCAAACAGACCTACACGGACACCCACCTGCACCTGCACTGACCCCGGTGGAAGCCCCCTACTCACACGTGAACACACTGGCCCATTCCACAAACATAGAGAAGTGGTGCCTTAAACCTTCTAATCAAGGAGGGAAATTCGTGATGAATGAATGAATGAACGAAAATGCACTGTGTGTAATACGTGCGTATATGTGTGTATGTACGAGAGTACCTCGAAAAGGTTGTGGGAAAATAGAATTGAAAGATAATGTGACTTCTCCATGAACTTTTTGAAATACCCTCGTATATGTATACTATCTACAGATATATATATATGAAACATATAAAATATATATGCACCCCTGGAGGTCAAGGCAGACCAGGCCCCCCAGCAAGACTGGAGATGTAAAGGGGTTACCAACTTCCCTGGACACACGCATTATAACTTAAAGCCTAGTCTCCCAATCTTTCTTGGGGGAGGACCCCTATAACTCAGGCAGCCACACAGCCTGGTCCAGGCCAGGCACCCTGGGGTCCCCCTTTCCAGTTCTGAAGCTACTTGACCTCACCCTTCTCGATCTAGAGCCACTGGAGGGCATGAGTTTAACAAGGTTTTCAGCAGAGCCCCCATTCCCAGAGGGCTCCCCAAAAGTCTGATGAGTCTCTCTTGTGCTAGAAGAGATGGGCGAGGAGGGAGTCTGTCACATGCTGAGAGGGGCAAAGGTCACAGGTGAGGGGAAGGGGAGGGGAGGGGACACACTGGGGCCAGCCTACGAGAGCCCCAGGCCAAGACAAGGCTGACCCCACCACCAGGAGAGTGCGGGCAGGGGGTGAATTTGAGGGCTGAGTTTATTTTATTGTATTTTGCCTCCAGCGCTGGGCCGGAGACGCTCTTTCCCCAGGGAAACAAAAGGCCTGCAGTCGTGGCGTCCTGCCCCGCTGGGAGGGCGTTTCGCCCCCGGGACTCAGTGTCCCCATATTAGGGCTACTGGTCACTCTGGCCTCGGAGAACACAGAATTGCAAGACCTCAGATCACCCTGCCCCCACTCCTGACCATCTAATTGGGGCATCCGCCCTCCAACCCACCAGCAGAGGAGCTCAGAGTGGATGAGTTCAGAGGAGCACCGAGTATTGACTGGCTCCCTCC